AAGCAGTGGTATCAACGCAGAGTACTTACATGTTCCGAAAAACCGCGCACTTCATTGCTGTAGGATGCGCTGACTTGGCGTGTATTAGGATATTCTTCGAGCTTCCTTTCCTGTACCACTTCATTCGAAACGTACCACGAGATAGATTTATCTGTGTTTTCAGGAAGGGAAGCCACCCATCGTGCGGGGTCTCTCTGGTGAAGCGAATGTACTGTGATTGCTGATTTAAGAGCTCGAAACACTCGTCCATTTCGGACTGCGTTGATGTTATTACGCAGCAGTCATCGATGTAGAGACAGTACATTATGGGCAAGCGTGCTAGTACTGGCTCCTCTATCTTACTTATGAAACAAATCGCAAGGGCTGGTGCAAATCGTTGACCCATAGCCAGCCCTCTGATCTGGGCGTAGTAATTCCCAGACCATTTGAAAATGTTACACTTTAAACATTCTTGGATGAAGGTCAGTATGCACACTTTGCTCAGTCCAAAGGTGAGCATATCGTTGTAGTAGACGTCCAGCATCTCGGAGAGTGCTTGCAAGTCAGCGCATCTTACAGCAATGAAGTGCGCGGTTCTTCGGAACATGTATCGAACGGCTGTAGAAGTAAGTACTGGCGAACAAGAACGTCTTGAATCGAAACAGCCGGCAGCAGAAATTGCGCGTAGTAACGGCTACACATGTCTAAAGACTCAAAAGTCACGATGTACGATTCGTAGCCAAACTATACGCGACGACAAGAACAAAATCCCACTTTGCGTACCTTTTATCTCCGACAAAGTAAGTGCGGCTATGAGACAGTGCATCGTTCGAGCACAACTGCAGAATGATGTTATGCTGGTGAATATCCCGAATGATAGTATCAGGAAGCAGTTATTGCGAAACAGGTTATACGACGTAGAATGCATATCAGACCAATGTATTGTTTGCCCACACGGAAAAGTAGGAGATTGCGCGAAGTGGGGAGTTGTATATCAATTAGAATGTCTGAGCTGTAAAACTTCATATATAGGCGAGACAGGCAGAGCGTTGAGCATCAGAGCCAGAGAGCATCTAGCCGACAAAAGACGTGGGAATTTGGTATCATTAGGCAAGCACAAGTTCGAAGCACACAATGGCGCAGAATTTGACGTGAAATGTATAATCTTGGCACACGAGACTGAAATTTCTGCGAGAAAAACCTTGGAAGCCTTGTAGATTTCCATCAAGTGTCCAAGCATCAACAACAAGAATGAATGCCTGAGGATAACTGATGATCTTTTGCCCTTCCTATCATTATGTGAGCAGTAGCCCTACATATATAAAGACGTGACACACGAGTGACACTCAGTGCCGTCCGTCTACAACATCAGTGTGCGGCTACCGTCCGGTACTTCGGTGCGGACTACTAACATCGATATCGCGGTGGATCGAGGGTTGGTTTCTTTTTCGACGTGCATCTCAGTACGTTGTGCATGGGACATCGTCTAAACTCGATGAGTACGGGAATGGCGTTTGGCGGCGTAGTCTCACAGATCAAAACTGCAATCTTCTTTCAGGCCTCCGAAGAAGACGAAACGTGTCGAAACGTAAGGCAATAAAAGATTCACCGTAAAAATTTGGGCTCGGCAAAACATCAACATATTTATGAACACCAATGCCCAGATTCAGAGAAGAGAGGACTTGGAGTTTACTGACCGCATCTCCATTTTGTTTTTCTTGCCAACTCTGACCTACGAAGCTAGCAGATGGCTGGGAAGATAAGTAGGCGTGCTGATTACGAAAACAATGTTAGTTTTTCAGCATTAACAATTATGCACTTCTTGCCAACTTCAAGCTAAAGCGTTGAGAGTTGGACAAGTATGCAAGGGCGTGCGCTGATAACGGCATCGATATTTCTAACAGTTGCATCCACCAATTTATCGTTTTTTTGCAAACTTTGACCTGAAGAATTTGGAGTTGACACAGAGGGAGTTGAGTTGACACAGGCATATGAGCATGCTAATTACAAAAACATAGTTTTAGCAGGGAACTGGCATATAGAACTGAGACGGACAGGGAATGTTTCATTGTTTGAATGTATTAATAGAGCCAGCAGACCCAATAGTCCTAGTCTTGGCGTGTCCGCTGTTTCAGTAAAACGCTATAAAGAATTCCAAATACTCATACCATACTCAAAACTTGGCTAGAGCGAAAATCCGTGTTAGATACGGATAAAGCAATACTTGTGAAGCTACGCAGTACTACTCTCGAAAATCTTAGCCACAACTTCTGTTCTCGCATTTCCGAGGAGTGATGCAGTGCATCAAATTAGCCAAAGATAATCCTGTCCTAGTAACGCTGAATTGAAACGAAGACGGAAACTCGTAATACAAGAATGCGGGCTCATTAATTTAATGAAATTTCATGCAACTTCAGTTGTTCTTCCGTCTCTTCTGTATGCACACACTGAATCCCATAGCATTTAGTGGTAATAATACCTGATACTATTAACCTAGCAATAAAACGGGTTTCGGAATCAAATTTCATGGTGTTGCGACTGTCGCAAATGTTGCTCACAAAATCGAAAACAATCAAGTGTTTGAGGTGAGGTGTCAGTTTGTAATAGTGATGGTAGGCACAAATCAAGTTTATAATCTAAGGCTCCCGCCAGACTGCCGAAGCCATGCCAGCGCTACGCCAGCGCCGAGCTAGCGTTTCGATTGATACACGTGTATTTCGTTGGGGCGGGGTCCTGGCTGAGGACTAGGTCAGCTAGCCCCGCTCCAACGAAATACACGTGTATCGATCGAAACGCTGGCGTAGCGCTGGCATGGCTTCGGCACTCTGGCGGGAGCCTAACAAGGGAACGATCCCAATTTAAGGTTGCCAACTGGATTAAGCCGCACACCCTTTGATGCGTCTTGATGAGCTAGTTACAAATCTACGTTTTATATCTGCGATGCCGTCTCTGAAAAAAGTTATGAGGCTTTAATATATGGAGTCGTGGGGGTTTCAGTGTATAACGTGCTTTGAAATTCAGCTTGAACTTTCATGAGTAGCTTGATATTGAATGTACTGATTTTAAGGAATGTTCATTCAAAGAAAACGCAAAAAAGTGATGTCTGATTTTTGATCAAGTCTTGAGGTATGGTCCTGCATATCTGCCAATTTGGACTTCTCATTGCTCATAGCTTTTACCAAAAAACTTTAGTAGTGTTTTAGTTGTTCAAAACACTTATTTGTGTTTCCTTCGAAAGTGGGCATTCTCTGAAATCAGTACACTCAACACATGCTAGTCATGCACTCCCGAGTTGGATTTTGAAGCACATCATGCATTGAAACCCCAACGAATTCACATTTTTAATTGCTCAAAACTTTCCTCGGAGAACGGCATCGCAGATATGGAAGGTAGATTTGGAGACAACTCGTGAAGATGCATCTAATCATATGCGGTTCAATCCTTCGCTACCTTTAGTTGTGATCGTTCCCTTGCAAGAAAACTTGATTGGCTAAATGCAAAATGTAGAGTGCATTTGCCTGATCTCGGCAAACATCAAAGATTTTCGGTCGTAAATGCTTAACAAGCAAAACATTCAGCATTCCACCTTTCCAATGAACCCCCTGAAATATAAGTGGTCAGGGTAATAATAATAGCGCGTTGGGTTTATTTTGCTAACGATAAGATCTCCTAAATGATTACGGATTTTTCTCATAAGCATCTTTGTAGGGCGTTGACTAATGCTTCCAGAAGATTATCTCATTTTTTTGGTCTTTGGCGAAACCTTTGTGCGTTCAGCTGTTGCGACAGTGGATGAGGGAGCAACATGAGGGAGCCTATGCCTAGTCAATTCCAGTCAAAAAGCACCACATCTCCTTCCAGAGCTATAAAATTACAATTGAAGAATTCATCTGTAATTTGACATATGTTGCACAGCACGCGCTCTACTTCACAATTCCTATGATCAAAAGCCGTTTTTACTCGTTTTCTCATCTTTTCTAGCTTTATTTGAAACATATTTGGTAATGCACATTTCATTAGCTTATTCCAGGGCCCGGCACGAGTTGGCTTTTCGAAAATGCAAAAAACGAATTTTTCTTTGAATTTCGCAAAATTTTACGAAGTCCCCTCTAGACGTGAACTTAAAGGCAGCGTCCACTCAAAATCTACTCATCCCGGACTAGCACCTATCCTACTAGCAGGCCCTAAAAGTAGACCAACTGCGTTAGCCCGGTCCCCTAATTACGGCATTAGGTCTTTTTGCGCCCCGCCCCTTTTTTAGCGCTCCGCGTACCCACGGATTGCCGCATAACGTGTTCGGACATGAAAAGCAAGGTCGAGACGCATAGTTTGTGATGTAGCACTGTCGCACACTAGGTTTTCTGTTGCATACAACGTGACTAGCGCCGGAGTTTCGTCCATGTCTACCAAAATAGGGCTCCATTATAGGGGCATCTCATATCCAAAATCAACGTCATGGAAAGTCACGATAACAATAATAACATGGAAGACGAATTTTCGGATGGACGCTGCTTTTGAAAAAGCGAAACGTCGATTAGAAAAAAATTGGCCTATGTTGCGTTTTCGGCCACAAAAACGATATTTCCTTTGCATTTGTCCCGAGAACGATATGCAGCTCGCTCAAAGGCCACCTGTGCCGAGCCCCGGTTTATCCCGCTGGAAAGGGTTGCAGAATTACCAGTAACAAGTTGTGAATCACAAACTCACATATCAAGCTACAAATGACTCATGTGTGCTCTAGCAGACTAACAAGGAAGGATGCTTGGTGAGCGTAATCATTTGTAATGACGCACTCAGATCGAATGAAAACGCTAATTTCAAAACTGCCTTTGCTATCTGCAAATGATTGTCTGAAGTAAGTCCGATTATTTCCAAAAGGATTTACATTGTTTCAGTTAAGCACTTTGAACATCTCATCTTGTTTCGCTAATCGGAACAACATATGAAGAAGATCGCATTTACTTCAAGTCTGGGTAACCTGTCTCAGTTGTTGAGAAACTTAAATAATAATAGTTTCTAAGCTTTGGCAAAAAAAATGGGAAGAAAAGCTCTCATATCTAATTCTGATAATCGCTTAGCAGATAGCAGAAACAGATTTGCAATCAACGTTTTAAGGAGCATTCAGTAATATGCGTCTTATTACGAAAGGCACGGTCCAAAGTATCCATCTCCTGTAAGATCCGCTTATTTATATTTCTTATCGTGCAGCGTAATTCTACACCAAATTTTGACGCGGCAAACATTGTGAGAGTCGCGGTAGAACAACTTAGTCGGTACGTCGAAAAAGCGCAAAATCATGTCGAATTCTTCTTTGAAACTTCTAACCATTCATCCTAGCATTACTAGGACTCTAATACAATATCAGTAGTACAGCAGTGATGTAGAGGAATCTTGCGATAAAAATTACAACGGCCATGTCAAAGTCCACCATTTTTTCCCAAGCCCTATAACTGAAAAATGTGATGCACAATATTTTTAAATGGTAGCTATTGTTGTAATTTCTGTGACCTCTAATTTTTCATGTACTTAGCGAAAATCAAGAATTTCTCCAAATCACCCTTATTCTGTTCTTTATCCTTGTAGTGGTTCTGCCACACATAATCTACAGCTGTTGCAACGATTGCCCAAGACACAAAAAACCCTAGAACACTCCTGAAAGTAAAAATTTGTGGGTCTTAAAAGAACCGTTAACGGTCAGATCTACATGTATATCCAAAATGCTAGTGAGTACGTGTTGTGTTTGGGAACGCAACTGATTCCACTGAATTCAGCGGGCAATAATGTTTGTGAATTAGCAGCATTGAGAAAACTGGTAATGTCCTGAATAAAAAGGTTTGGTCCTTGTGACGCTCTCATGTATTTTCGACATACCTTACTCGTACACCTCTCTGGCATACAGACAGCAAGTCTTGGTCCAACTTTAAAATTTGAGGGCATACCGACTTCCTTAGGTGCAAGGCCGGTCTGGAACAAATAAAGAGCTTGCTCGATGTTCATGTATCATGCAGATAGCGGAAACGAACCATATTAGTAATTTCAGAAGTCGCATAGCAATATTGAACTTGATAGGGAGCTTCTACGTCCATACATTCACTGTATGATCCCGAGCTTACTAGCGTCAGATCCAATATTCCAGAGGGAATTTTGCCGAATGCATCTAATTCTGAAAACGTTATGCATGTCAAATAAATTCATCCACTCGTGTTCCATGATAAAATTTAAAAAAATTTTGAGAACTAGCTCACTTACGCTTTATAGCGAAAATGTTATCGTCAAGCACTTTCTGCTGCGCCTCGGTGCACTTTCCTTGTTGTCTGCAAGCAGCGAAGGTGGATGTAAACCGGGTGACTCCCGTGGAAAATGAGGTGACATCCATCAAACATCCTTGTGTTAGCTCCGTTTCATTCAGGATCTTAGCGGGATTAAACGGCAATGGTATTGGTTGCTGAAGCAAGCGCGGTAATTGCCCAACCATCATTTTTTTCTACCACTGCATGTTCAAACCTTCATGCAAAAAATGTTACTTTTTTGCATTTTGTTCAATCAAAGACAAAAAATTGTTGAATAAATCACACTTTGATAACAAATTATTTCCACAAAAAACCGTTTATCTATATGAAATGACACTTACATTGCGGGAAAGAGTTGAATACGGGGCAAAACAAGTTTTACAGTTGAGAAATAAGTTGATAAGCTATAAGAAGTGCTGCCTTAGAACTGGAGATGATTCGCTTTATACTGTGAGTCTGAGTAAGTTGAAGCCAACTAAAATTACCCTAACCACACAAAATAGTCTTAGTATTAACGAAGGACATTAGAACAAGCGAGTTATTGATCAAACAATGTGCACTTTTCCAACGTTCGACTTTCTTTAAATCTCGGTGTACGTGACGGTGTCATTTCAAAGTTTTGGACCACAGAGATTGTTAAAGACCTTAATGGCCTACGTTCCGGCAAGTTCGCGTCCGCCAAGTCTGAATTGGACGATTCACTCGCAGATTATCCGAAGGGCTGCTTTTCAAACTAGGCAACCGAATTCACAAGTTCAAAGAGTGCAGGTACATCTTCTCTGGCACCAATCACTATTTTGCGTTAAACTTCTGCGGTAGAGACTTACATAGTGTCGGTGTAACTGCATAGCTCATAATCTATCATAACTTATAATAACGGGCTAAGGATGTTTACGTGACTTTGTGTGTCTGTGTGTCTGTGTGAGAGTGTGTCTGTTACGAAATTCGTAGAGCGTGCTCCAGCCAACCTCCTGGGCCCAAATTTCGCACAGCGCATGCTAGCCGCAAGAAAATCCAACATGCAAAAGCACGAGCAGATTTGTTGAGTGGATCCCTCAGAAATTGCGCGCCAAACGGGTCCACATGGCTTCTATACCGCAAAATTCGGTCCGTATCACCACTTTTTGCAGAGTCGTGGACGAGTTTGGTAGGCAACTGTGCAAGCGATGGAGTTTAGCCCGAAAAGTGGTCGAAAGTTCACTGCATAACGAAAACGGCGCCAAAAGAATTGGTTGTGTAAATGGTCAATTTGCCAAGGTTCTAGCTAAGCGCTTGAGAAGATTTTCGCACAGAAATGTAGCTCACGGCTACTATTACCTCTTTGGCGACTACCAAGCCATGACAAATCCAAAAACCTATTCAAATTTGCGTTTGTCTTCTTGCGAAAAGTTTCATCCACGCGAAATCACCGATCTCACGTGAAAAAACTTTTTAAATGAGTGGTTGTTTACATTTTATTCGTGGTAGTCGGCATAGCGCGGTTAGTTCAGTGCCACGATTCTACGAGAATGAGTAAGGCACATAGATAGTAGAGCCAGTGCGAGCCTCTGCGAAGCAGAGGTGACGCACTGGTATATATATAAAACTCAATGTCTGTGAGGATGTTCGTTTAGTTGTTCGTTTGTTATAGAAACGCGCGCCACTAAACCGATCCGGCTGAAACTTTGCACACGTATGTTTTCGACCCCGGCGGTGGTTTAGAGCTACTTTCCTCGGCGATTCGCCGGGCCATTCTATCGATTTATTGATTTGTTTACTCAAACCTAAGAAAATGAAGGGCCATCATGGCAACCGATCATTTTTACATACAAGCATGTAAGCAGGGGCGGTAAAGTCCATTTCAGTCTTAAAGTTGGTAGGGTGCGGCAATTAGTCTGAAAGCGCTTTATGCGCATGTTAGAAGAAATTTAGAGGCGTAAGTTTACAAGTTCTGTTGACTTAACTTGAAGTCTCGGGTAAGACCGGGGCCACCAGCTAGTACTTCATATATGGCAGAACCTCCCGAGTGATAGCTATATATTTTTCAGATGATTCATTTGTGGAATACGGTTGTGAACATGGCAGGCTTCTGGATTAAGCAAATGTTTTTCGTTCATGCGCTAAGATTTGCAGTTTGATATCGAAATCATTTCCTTTATGTTTAAACATTCTGTAAGTGCTCATTGGCATTGAAAGCCGTGACTTCTCTTTGCTTTTAAAGTGTTCCTCGATGCAGATACATAATGGCTGAGCAGTTTCACCTATACACCAATGCATACCGATGTAATGATATAGACTACCTTAAAGCTCCTGCGGCTTCCGCTTTTAATCGGCAAATCACGCAGCTGGTGCAGTACAAGCGCGATCGTAATTATAAACTCTCGAACCAGCATACGTTTAAGATTATTCAGGGGGTTCACAACCGAACCTAATTCAGACCTGCCTTGCCTAGACATTAGACATTCTCTAAGAGTGCTTCAACACAAAGAAAGATTTCAAAATAGACGTGCAGATCTTAGCGCTTGAACAAAAACAAACAAAACTCTTCAAACTTCTCATAATCACAACCATCTTGACTCAGAGGGAAAAGAAACTCCTAGGATGAGTTTAATTGAGCAAATTATCAGGTTGTAAGGAAAGTTTTCGGGCACTTTTGATAATTTTATTTTCAAACGCATTTTTTCGGCGCTCGGTCGGACCTTCACACCAAGTTTTTTATACTATTTAGTAGCGGGAAGCCTGAAGTTTTCAATACGTTTTCTGACTTTTATCGATGCCAAGACGTGTCTGATCTGCACATCAAGAAGTGAAATCTTTTAACCACAAAAATTTCACAATTTTCCTTCCTGCGGCTATTTCTTTGTGCAGTTCAAAGAATTTTGTCCAAATTATGGGTGATTTGATTGAGAAGCCTGTTAACTTCTGACCTGCAGCTGCACTCGAGTTTTGCGATTTGCGCTTAGAAATTGAGCTGTCCAATTTGCCTCTGACTGCAACTCTTTTCGCAGCTGGCGTCGCTTCTATGGGGATCGCCACGCCTGGATGATGGGTCCAAAAGATGTGCGAGGCATCACCCTACCTGTTGCCAGTAATCAAAGATTTGGTCCTTTCTGTGCAGAAGTAGTCACTTACTTGAAAAATGGTGCATTTTTGGGGCAAAAATCAAACTTTCTAGGGAAAATTCTTTTGCAGGTCCTTCAAAAACATGAGTGGTCCCCATAACCGCACCAGCAACCTCTATATAACTACAGCATCTTGGCTTTCCAGCTCTCGTCCTGCCTGTGATAATCCTGCACAAATAGACCGCTTTTTGCGACGACCTTTTCCCTTTCTGCGCTGGTGGACCGCAGTGAGGTGCTGAGAAGCCAGCAAGACAAATATATATTGTGGACAAGATTGTCTTTACAATGGATTTTGCAGCTTTAAAGAAGAATCAATGTGCTTGAAGTTACAGCGATTTGAAAAATATTTTTGCAAGTGCCCGAGAACTTTCCTTACATCCTAAAACAACAATACTCAAGCTTAGGCTTATATTATTTCTCCCCCAAGTTTCACGGTTCTTTTATGATCTGGTGACTTCATTTCCTGATGATGATTCCACAGACTCAAGACGTTTGCAGTGATAGAACTGTCCATGATAACACTTGAGAAGCTTGCGAGAGAAAGACAAAAAGTTTGAAAACGATGTTGCCATTGTATAAAGAGAAATCTGCCTTGTTATCTTACTACAATTTTTGAGCATCCAAACGTTTGCGGACATCAGTAACAGTCAAAATCTTCTGAGTTTATAAGTAGAACGCATGACCTAATTTAATAGATGCTTGAAACTAAGGCTGACTTCTTCGGATAAAAAGCGTGAGGCTACCAAAAGTATGCAACTCTTAGGGCAATGGGTGAAAGGACCGTTACATTACCCGCAATAGTTCAATGTTTCCAGCGCATTTTGTAATAAAGACTATCAAAGTCAGTGCTGAGGAATGATGTGCTTGATGATATGAACGATATCCCATTTGTTTATGTCAACAAGTCAACTATATATAATTGTGACAGTCATACACTTCTCATTCTTCTGGCTTGCACTCTTTCGGATAAAGGCTTCCCTGCATCCGCTCCGGTACATAACAGTCAGAGAAAATTATTATTTTTGATCAAGGTGCAAACAAACCCAATCTTTAGCTCTACACATGCATACGACTACCTCAAATCTCTCTAGACTTCAAAAGTCACGAACCGAACCGTGATTTTAGCGTAGCATCTCTCTCCAAAAAAGCACATTCTATGGATAATCTGCTTTTTACATCTAGATAGCGGATAATCGCAAAATAGTGTAATCATTAGAAAAAGCTCTTATGGCAATTTCGAGTGGTATGTTCAGTTGTGAACATTGTGACAAATGGGAAGGCTTCAACCACACTGCTTTTGCATGAATTTGCATGACTCTAACAATTTGTGATCCATATAGCAGAGTACGGTTTTTCAAAGCTGTTTTGGGTAAGTGAACTCTAATGGAGCAATTGAAGTTTTTCTAAATTAACAAAGCTTGAAATCTTCTTATCTATCTAAAAGCCAAAACACTGAGTTCATAATCCGATTGTTTGAAAATCAGCATTTGCCAGCGTCGATATACCAAACTCAGTGAGGCAAGCAGAAGCTAGCGCAAAGGGTAATGTTACAATCGATTATTTTCATGCAATATCCTCTTCCTTTGTTGAATGAGGACTACTGGGATCATAAAACAAAATGTATACTTTGCATATTAAATTTTGTACTCAACATGCCGTAAATAGAATTTTTGCAAAGTTTTCTTTTCTTTGAAGTATTTTTCAATAGTGATTTTGGTTAGAACAAATCCGTGCAGCCTTTTTTCGTGGAAAGAGTTTTTAGATGAAAAAGCAGCTGATCAAACTTGCCTCCGCGCTCCCGTCCATCTCCCTACACTATCATTTTTGTATTAGGTTGTCCGAAAATTAATGTCCGTTTTGAATTTCGACCTCAATAAGTCATAACTTCTCATTTATGAATAGGTTGCAAGGTAACATTCGATAGAGCAAAGCAAGCTCTACAGGATGGCCATCTTGTTTTTGCAACAGCTTTCATTAACCTTGAGTTTCGAGCCGAAAACTAAAGCGATTCAGCTGCACGAAAAATTGAGAAAAATCGTAACTCAGTTCATAAAAATCCTGCAAAAATTCTGACATGCTCACGTAAA